TCAGTGGATAGAGATGGACGAGTCCGCTAAATTGATCTTTATAGCTAACGTTTCCTCGCAGTAGGGTGTAATCGTGACAAATGGAGTGTTTTCTCGTAGTCAGCATATGAACCTATCTAAACAAAGTTTCACGATTCACAATGTTGACCTCCTCCGTATTACCGTTCTTTTACAGTGAGGCGCTATCGTAACAAATGCATAAGTATATCATCCTAACTAAGCATCTTTATACCCCCTTATGCGAATTTATAAACAAATCCGCAATGTTACCCTCCTACTATTCCCATCGTATGCCTTAGATTATCGTAATGTATATACCAAAAGGTTCGCCTCGACAAGCTGAGTCTGAAGCCGTTATTTTTTTCGAGAATTCTTTGTGAAAATTTATGATGATGCCAAGTTTCGCGATTCATGTCATGTTTTTTGCACAGTTGAGCGCTGTTGTGGTTTATGTTGTTACATGTTAATAACTTACCCATACGTTCTTGATAATATCATAAATTGCCATAACTAGCGGCCCGATGAAAACATTTAGAAGCTGCGCTAATATTGTTGTAGACTTGTGAAGACAGGAGTTAAAGATTTACATACTCCAGTCTTTCTTATTGGCAGACAGGATTTATAAAATCACGTGCTTCACCTTTCGGAAAAGTTCACATGTTCATGTATTGAAAAATTAGATTTTTTATTTTCTTATAATGTTAGCAAAAACTAGGATTAATTTACAAGATTCCTTGTAAATTAAAAGCATCATATGCACTTACGCGAAAGGATAAAGTTTGATCTCATCAAAAGGCACCCAACACAAAAAACGTGACATGAATCGCGAAGCTTGGCATTATCATAACATTTTCACAAAGGATATTTCTCGAAGGAAATAACGGCATCAGACTCAGCTCGTCGAGGCGAATCTTTTTATACATTACAGTCGTCCACCACAGAGACCATTTGATCCCTGCGCTGTGCCTGCCCATAGCAACACAAAATGAACAACCAACTTAACGTTTTCACAACAAAATTGCTCATGTTTACTTAGTGCTCTGCAGTCAATATGATAACGTTTGAACAGCTCATAAATAAACTAATTTCGAAGACAAAGAAACACACACTTATTAGACTTACATTTCGGCTTATCAGCCTTCGTCAGAGCCTGGAAAATGAGGGACAAATGAGATGTACCCTCCCAAACGTTTCATCGCTTGCAGGAAAAACACAAAGTTGAACAGATTTAAGTTAGGAACCGACGAAAGACAGCTCACCTTATAATGTTGAAGAAGTCAACCACGACCACCGTAGGCATACGTTAGTGCACAATGATGCCCTGGAGATGTTTATATGCGGGGAGTGCAGGTCAAAAACCGCATAATTCCAGTGCGAGTTCTTTTGTTACGAGAATGCGTTCCTCTTTCCTCTTCATTTTTGGATTCCTTGATTGATGAGATTCAAATTTGTTGTTATTACGTCGCAGCCTACAGTGAGAATAAGGACGTACACATTCTTGCTTTCCGCAAGCCATCTAGATGTTCCCTTACTCGTAGCGGCCTTCCCGTCTCACCAATATGTTCATCCCCGCATAATTTATATGTTAAAAGATATATGACCTCAGAACAAATGCAGTCCCCCGATTTATTTGAGGGGCGGATCATACAATCCGCTTCTTTACAAGCTTGGTCATATGCCCGATTGCGCCCTAAGCGTTGTTGAGGTCTGCAGGAGGACAAGGTCTCTGACTTGCACACGCACGCGTTGATCTCCCTGATTAACTCGTCTGAAATAAAAGGCAAATAGAATGGCACCTTGTTATCACTATCAGCATCAAGGCAGCTTGCTTGTACGCTTTTTCCACCCTTTATAAGTTTGTAGCCAACAGCAGCTGTAATGTTGAGAACCTCTTGAGTTGATTTTTGCTTCAGCGTACCGTCAGAAGATACCGCTTTAGCTTTGTGAAGCGTATTTCCAATGATGCTACGCTTTATACGTATAAGGTGAGCGGAGGATAATGCACCAGAATATTTTTGTTGCTAGGTTTCCTGTACCACCTAGTCCTTAAGCATACCTGGACGTCAAAAATGGGAGCATTTGTTCTTTGGCTTTCTCAAGTAAACTTGATAATAGCTGATTGCTCTATTTAGATCAAAGCAGCTGTCCATTTCTGCTTGTATGGGACCTACGATGAGGTAGTCATCAATGTACCGGAGATATAAAGTGGGTTTGCGATTAAGAACTAGCTTTTCTCCTTTTGACATGAAGTGTTAGTATAGGTGACGTTGCCACTAATTAGTCCCCTATTTGCCTAAAATACTGCCCCAATCAATTGAATAGTAGACAGTCCAGACACCCTTTTAGATTTAGATCCTGCTAGATGTTGAGACCGTTAAGATTATTGATTTTCTCCGTGAGCAGCTCGAAGAAAGCTGCGAAGAATTTGACTCATTTGTATAGAGAGAGAGCTTACATCGCAGGACTCTATAACTTCATTCTTCTCAAACCGAGGGTTGCGCAAATGGCCAAGCAGGCGATTTGTAATAGAAAAGTGTGCAGGAATGTATTGCAAAACGTGAGTAAGAATTACGTTTAGTAGCCATGAAATTTTGTTCGTGAAAACCCGACGTTACTCATAATGGGTCGAACCTTGATGTTTGAAGGATCATTTAAACGTTAGCTTTTTGGAAGGTAATTGAATGTGTTTTTATTAACACATATAAAACAGAGCATGTTGGGAGGTCGCATTTGAGGCGTGCGATGATGTGCTTAGAGAGATCTGCACATGTGCTGTGTCAACCCTATCTAGTCGAAATGCTGTTGAGATACTGCAGTATCTAGTTGTCTGAGCATAACCACGAATTCACCGCTTTTATCACTGACTGCTATCTCGATAGATCCCGAGGTTGTAAGTTTCCAACTTTTTCAGACCTCTACCTTGCGCAGATGTTAAAATTGATGCGATTCGCTTACGTTCTTAACGTTAAGATACAGTGTAAACAGAGACAACAAACTAACGTCTCCAAACTTTTGGTGGCTCGATAATGCGACAGTGATGCAAAGTTCACTAGGGAAAAGCCAAGGGACAATTGGCTTCTATTTCTTGACGTCCAGGTATGCTTAAGTAAGAAGGAATGTAGCTAGGTGGCACAGGAAACCTAGCAACAAGAATAATTTCATGCATTAATCCTCTACCAACCTACGTATAAAGCGTAGCATTTTGGGAATATGCTTCACAAAGCTAAAACGGTATTTTCTGTTGGTACGCTGAAACGAAAATCAACTCGGCTTTCAAAATAGCAGCTGCTGTTGGCTACCTAAAGGGTGGAAAAAGGCATACAAGCAAGCTGCCTAATAATGATAGTGGTAAGGTGCCATTCTGTTTGCCTATCATTTCAAACGAGTTAAGCAGGGAGATCAGGGCGTGTGTGACAAATCAGGTCTCAAACAGTATATGAGAGTCGTAGAGATTCCTCCTGCAAACCTCAGGCAACGCTGAGTGCGCAATCGGGCAGCCTGAGTGACCAGCTTGTAAAAAAGCGGAATGTATGATGTGCTCCTCAAATAAGCCGGGGGGAGAAGGGAGGGGG